CTCAGCACCCAGGAGGCAGCAGCCAGTTGGTCTCTGAGTTCGAGGTCACCCTGGCCTACAGAGTGACTTCCAGGACAGCCAGGACTACACAGAGCAACTCTGTCTCTGAATAAAATAATAATTAAAAAAGAAAAAAAAAACCCTAGGACACAGTATGCCCCATGTGGGGTAAAGACTGTTTCAAGTAGGACTAACCAACTGAATCCAACTCACATGAAGGCTACACACAAGGAGAACTGAGGGAGTTTTAGGGAGCTCTAAGGCAGGTGGGCGCTGTGGTCTTTCTGGCTCTTTCAGGAAGCTCATCACATCTCATCCAAAGTCATTAGCTCGCGGCGCTAGCACTGTTCCCGTCTCTTTCATTTTTATTTATCTTCATCTTTGCCGTTAGTAGATGAATTTCCCAGGTTTCTGTTTCTTCCCACCCTTATCCTGAGAGAAGATGGATCTGACTCCTGTTCTTGATTCTATTGGAGGTTTCTTCTGAAGATGCTGGTCAGTGTGGAGGGGCAGGGTCTATATGCAGAGCATGTAAGTCAAGTCACAGGCTCTCTTAGTGAGATTCCACAGCAGCAAATGCAAAAACACCTCTGCGAGAGCTCCACCCTGGACAGCAGAGGAAGAAGAGCCCTCACCCCTCTAGTTCTGCATGCTCCTTCTGTTGGCTAATCCAAGCTCATAACTGAGGAGGAAACCCAAGCCAAATGCAGATCTTGTCCATATGGACAGCTGGTCGAGCCCAAACCATCAGTAGAAAACTGTCAAGTCCCAGTGCTTCTGTCATCTGATTTCCACCTCCCCAGTCCCCGAAGTGGGGCTAAGCAGGACACTGTGGACCAACAGCCCAGAAAGATGAAATCCTATTCTTTGGCCTTCTCCCTGGAAACTGTTTTATGAACCTGCTAATTCCCCCAGGGAGTCCCAAAGCCCAGCTGTAAACCCAGAGCTTCTCAGGCAGCCTGCAGAGCTAGGAGAAAGGCATTACCATGCTAATGATGTCCTATTTAAATTCTGGCCCTGATTACTCTGTGATGAAATCTCTTTCCTCCACACTGGTTTCTTTATATCTGAGTTCTAGTGTGAAATCAACAATGTTAATAAAGTACAATACATATTATCAAGTTATACACTGGAGATGGAGAAACAGCTGTATAAATCTTAAGGTTCACTTTTTCTGGAACAAAAACAAACTAAAATTGGTTACTGATTTTTTTTTCACCCCACTTTCCTTTATTTAAAAAATTGAAATGCATATTAATGAAAAGCTGCTGGTTAATTTCTGCAAGTGTTCAAGAAATGCAGGAGCCAATTTGCTTTTCATTTTACTCCACTGTACGAAACATTCCTCAGAATTCACATGTGTGACTTAAATCTCAGACCTAACATCTTTCTTCCCCTCCTCTCCACAGGAGTGTGTAACTGTAACAGAAGCCTCTTTGCCCTTGAGAATGTCATATTTCTGGCCCTTTCTTATCATCCCAACCTGAATACCCAACTCGGGGCTCAGGATGCAGCTTGGCTGGTAGAGTGCCTGCCTGGTATGCACAACACCCTGGGTTCAACTCCAGCATAGCACAAACTAGGTTATTAGGTGCCACACTCTTCTAACACCAGCCGAGGAAGTAGATGTGGGAAAATCAAGAGTTTAAGGTCATCCTCAACTACCTATCTGCTCAAGACAAGTCTTAACTACAGGAACCTACCTCAAAAGTAAAGCAAAACAGTAACTATCCAAACGGAACACTCCATCATCTTCAGGAAAGTCACCTTTGTCCCTGTTCTCATGATGCTGCAAAAAAGATCCAAGGTCTGCGCCCACAGTCCCAAACAAGGAAGAAAGAACAGACGCTTTACAGTATTCTCCTGTTCCCGAAAGCGAACAAGACTTGTGGCGTGAGGCCACTGGGCTGCGTCCTGAAATAACCCAGTAAGGAAGGCTTAGGGCAGCATCTGGTTCTCAGTGGATTCACAAGCTAGACAGGGACAGAGGGCACATCTCCATGGTGAGACAGGCCGGTCCGTCTCTGACGGCCAGCATAGGCACTTCCTGCCCCTAAGAGCTCTCTGTGTAAACAACACTGTTGATTGGCCCTTGGACCACAAAATGTTTGCTTTCCTCTACAGAAGAAAAAAAAAAAAAAGCCAGGACCCTCACGGGGCACTGGATGCCCAGGGTAAGGGCAGCTCCCACCACCCCTGCAGTTTACTCCTGCCGTGTGTCAAGGTCAAGTTCAGAACAATGTGACATCAGGGCGTCATCTGCAGGTTCCTACAGGGAGTGTGAAGGGACAGCTATGCTCTGTCTTTGTGCCCCCTGGCTGGATCCAGCACCTGCACATGAACCATCTCCTGAGGGCTCAGAAGAACTTCAGAACTGCTCATTCATGCCAACACTGCTTTCTCCACCCCTGTGACCCCTGTCGGAAATCAGGCTTTTCCTTTTAATGCTTTATATCAGGGTAGAGACACGGCCCTTAGTTAAAGTCCAGTCTCCAGAACCCACAGGGAAGCTGGGTGAGGTGACGCACACCTGGGCCCCAGGCCTGTGGCGGCCAGGACTGGGCCACCCCTGGGGCCTTCTGGACAGCCAGTCTAACCGCACTGGAGAGTTCCAAGCTAGGGAGGATCTCAAAGTAAAACAAAGTCAAAAGAGCCTGAGACACAACAGCCGTGGTCGGCATGCGTGCCCAAACATACGCCCGGGCAAACATGCTGCCTCAGTTTTACCGGAAGACATTTTGCCCACGGGCTGTGTAGGTGGCTCGGCAATTAAATCATCCACAGCTCTGACAACAGACCCGAATTCTGCTCTCGGCCTCTACGTCTGGTGGTTCAGCCTGAGACTTCAGCCCCAGGGAACCCAGGGGCCTCCTCTGGCTTCCGGGGCATTGTCCTTGCCATGTGCCCCCCCCCCAATACACACACATCTTTTTTATTATTATTTTTAAGACCTAGGAAACGGGTTTTTTATTTAAGACTAATGAGACTGTGGAACACCCGTATAGACCTGGATTTGCCTTTCTTGCTTCAGCACTTTTGACCTTGACCACAGAGCTCCCTCTGAATTGCTGACTCTGAAGATCCAAAAGCAGCTGAGCCAAGATTAACACCTGGTTTATTGCATTTCAGTGGGTGAAAGCTTCAATTTACTCGGGAATTTATTCTCTTCTCAGTTTAATTACGTGAATGTATGTGTGTACATGTGAGCGCAGTACCTGTCAGGAGAGGGTGTCGCGTCCCCTGGAGCCATACGACGTGAGAGCCAAGGAACAAACGCGGGTCCTCTGCAAGAGCAGTGTCCACTCTTGACCACTGGACCATCTCCCCGCCCCCAGAAACTCATTTTCTGTTTCTTTGTTACCTACATTCTTACCAACACCGGATTGTTAATTTGGGTGACCCAAATCCGAATTTCCCCAGACCAGTTAAAAATGAGCTTCAGCCTCGAGCACACGTGAGCAAACACACGGGGAGAGGGTGGCTGGCCCAGCATCACGCTAGCGGGAAGCACAAGGATCCTGCCACAGACCGTCTGCAGCTGGAGTTGTCCTGTGTAACAAACAACCCCCGTTCACTCGGTTACATTTTCATGACCATCTTGAAATTATTTAGTGAAGTAATATGATGAGATTCAAAACTACAGTGCTCTTCTGAAAAAGACATTAATGGCTTTCAAGAGCTCACACACTATTGAGATGAAACTACTGGGTTAGATTTGCTTGAATCTGTTTACATCTTCTTTGTTCTTAAATATAATCCATTCCCCCATTTTGTGTCAAAACTACGAAACGATTCAGTTTTTCTTATTCATAGAGTTGTTTTTAATCAACAGCACAGGGCTGCTGGAGAGCCGCCTGCTCAGGTCTTACGACAAAGCCAGCCTGCAGGGCCTGGGGAGCCTGGCGCCCCTCAGCGCTGACTCACGCACACTCCACACAGTCCTGGGCTGCACATTGGGCAAAGTAACCAAACATAAATAAAAGGTTTGGCCTGAAAGAGTGAAAGGAAACAGGGTGAGACAGCTCAGTGGGCAGAGGCTTGTGCAAGCTTGGTGAGCCATGTAGAGCGGAGGGAAAACTGACCTCTCACCTCTGTGAGACCAGTGCAAAATAACAATAAAATTCTTAAACTTTTTAAAGAAATTTAAGGGAGTAGGGGAGGCAGAGAGATAGCTCAGTGGTTGAGAACACCGGCTGCTCCTGCAGAGGACCTGAGCTCTGTTTCTAGCACCCATAACTATTACACCAGCTCCAGAGGGTCTGACGCCCTCTTCTGGCCTCCACAGGCACCACACTAACATGCACACACACACACACACAATTTAAAGTAAAAATTAAGTGTTTGTAAAAGAAAGTTAGAAGCGTTAAAGGGAATAGTGCTCAGCTCCGGCTGCTGAGCCTGCTGAGGCTTCATTGGCAGGATACAGTGTCACACATGGAAGGAACACTACATCACACAATCCACCAGAACTTTAAAACCTGATTTGTTCGTCCCAAAATGACAGGTCTGCCCTCTGCGGCTGGAGTCCAAATTCTCTATTTGGACTTTGGACACCGTCTTCCCTGACAACAGTTTGTGGACTATTCAGGTGGCTGTCAGAGCGCAGGGAAGATGGCGTGCTGTCCCTCCCTGCCATGCCGGCTCCAGTGTCACCTGTGTTCTTCCCATGACGAGAAAATCTAACCTCTGAGAACACCCTGACAACAGAGCCCCTTCTCAATCCCCCCAGTCAGCCTGGGGCCTGCTTCCCGGAAGAGCGAGGGAGACACCCTCAGCTCAGGGTGTGCACTGGTGTGTGTGTGTGTGCGTGCTCGTGTGTGAAGCTCCACAGCCCATCACGTCCATCAGCAAACGCAGAGCAGAAGATGGGAAAGGGCAGAGAAAGGGAAATTGTCCCATGCGGAGAGCAAAGCAAATGTCCTCCATGATCTGACTCTGTGAGTGTCCCAGCGAGGGGCTGGTCGGGTCAGCATGCGCCTGTCCTGAGCTGGGCTACTCACTGTGGGCGGCCTCCCGGAGCGCCAGGTCCTGCCGGCTCCTGACATAGTCCTCCTGGACGCTGCGCAGCCTTCTGATGTTCCTGGAGTTGAGTGCCAGCAGCCTGCCCAGGAGCGACTCCAGCCCTTCCCGCTCCGCCGACAGGGCCTGGACCTCCTCTGTGAGCTCCTTGGCTGTACAGAAGTGGCTTCCTGCAGCACAGGGTGAGAAAGGGGAGGAGAGGAGGTGTAGGGGTGTGTGTGTGTGTGTGTGTGTGTGTGTGTGTGTGTGTGTGTATTCTTTGAAAGTTTTGTGCATTTGCCCAACGATACTGGCCACAACCCTCCACCATTCCCCATTTGAGCTCCGCCAGTGCCTACACGTCTTCCTCCTAACCTCATGTCTCCTTACTAACAGCCCCTGATTGGAGTGCACATGAGTGTGGGGTCATCTGCCAGGGCATGAGCCAGGCAGCCATGTCCCCAAAGGAAAATGCCTCTCCCTCCCACAGCAGCCACAGGGTCCTTCCAGCGCCTCCCCCTTCCGCGCCAGGACTTTTTGTAAATGATGTGAGCACTGGAGACAACTGCCTCCTGCTGTCAGTCTCCTGGGCACACCTGGAAGGGATGCTGCCGGAAGCTTAGGGCCTCGGAAAATGGACAGCTGTGCAGGAGGACCAGGGAAAGCCCCAGGCACCACTGCACCCAAAGCTCAAATGTCCAAGGACTGACACAGCAAGCAGAGGAAAAGGCCCTGGCCTTGCAGTTAGACGGCAGCTAAATTAACTCCCCCCCATCAAAAATGCATGACCTATGTGACGGCTAATTTCAACACAGCTGAGAGGGGGAACCTCAGCGGAGGGATTGACTCCATTGGCCTGTGGTATGGCTACAGGTACTTTCTTGATTGTTAATTGATGGAGGCCGGCCTTGCCCACCAGGGGTGGTGCCATCCCTGGGCACGTGGTGCTCCGCCTACAAGAAAGGTGGCTGGGCATCAAGCCAGGAAGCAGCACTCCTCTGTGGTCTGCTTCCATTCCTGCCTCCAGGTTCCTGCCTGAGCTCCTGCACTGGCTCCCTTCAGTGTGACCCAGAAGCCAAATTACACCCCCCCCCAAAGCAAGCGGCTTTTGGTCAGTGTCCTCATCACAGCTTGAGTGACCCTAATTAAACCAACGTGAAAAATGAATGAGCACATTTGGCATAAATGCGCTGTGAAATACGATCGTAATTACACCTGAATGCAGGTGGCTGCAGGAGCCACAGGTGGCCGGGCGCGTGAGGGGAAAAGCACCAGATAAAATGTAGGCCAAGCGGAGTGCAGTGGGGAGCAGGGCCGGTGAAAGAACCAGCAGTGTGTCTGAACAGCAGCACCAGGCCACTGTGACACAGTTTCTCTGAAATAGAGTTTACAACACATCTTAGAACTAAAAGTATGTGGGGGATTTAAAGGCTCCTGTGCAGAGGTGGAAATGCTTTTGAAAACCTACTGAGAGGAAATAAGACTTAAATAATTGTGGAGATAAACGATAAGCATCCACTGGAAAACGTGGTACTCCTAGGATTGATGCATAGATTTAATACAATTCCTATCAAAATTTCATGAGGCCCGTTGGTAGAAATGAATTGGCACATTCTAAAATGTAAAAGAAAATGCAAAGGCCTAGATAAAGCGGAGCAATCAAACAGTCAGCATTTAAGGCCCCAGCAGTAGCATCCATAAATCAAGACAGAGTGCATATGGGAGCACGCAGGTGTTGGCGAATGGACCAGAAGTCCAGAGTGGGTGTGTCCTCGAAGAGCCAACTGAGTGCAAGGCAAATCTAAAAGAAAAAATTATTCCCCAATAGATTCTGGTTATCCATGAGGGGGCAATGTGAACTCTGTTATATACCTCAGACCATGTGCAAATTACATCACGGGTGAAGCAAGGGGCTCAACAAAGTTAAAGCGATGAAACTACAAGCAGGAGATAAGAAAGAGCAGCAGACTGGCCCTGGATCCGGCAGAGCTGTGCGGAGGACGCAGAGCAGGGCAGTAAAGAAAAGCCCTAATGAATGGGCTTCATCCGTGACAAGGCTCTTTCAGTTCCTCAAACCAGGACAGGCAGGAAAGCTGGGCATGGGCCTGTGACCCCAGCACTTGGAAGGGGGAGGCAGGAAGGTCAGGAGTTCAAGGCCAGCTTTGGCAACCCAGCAAGTTTTCAGCCAGCCTGGACTACATACAACTGTCAAGAGAAAAGAAAATAGGGAAGAAAAGGGGGAGGGTGGGTAAGGGGAAGCAAAGGAGGGAGAGAAAGGAGAGGTAAGGAGAGAAAGGAGAGGGAGAGAGAGAAAAGGGGGAGGGTGGGTAAGGAGAAGCAAAGGAGAGAGGGAGAGAAAGGAGGGAGAGAGAGTGGGGAGGAGAGGGAGGAGAGAAAGGAGGGAGAGAGTGGGGAGGAGAGGAGAGGGAAAGTCGAGTCAAACTGGGACAGATCGTTTGCTACAGATAGCTGACAAAGGATTCAGTTTTACAACTCAACAATTAACAGAAATAACAGCATTAAATGCGAACAAAGACTCACCAGGCCTTTTTCAAAGGACTGTATGCAGATGGCCAACACACACAGACAATACTAGTCACTGGGAATGTAAATAAAGCCACAGAGCCCATTCCAACCCATTCAAATGGCACAAAGCGGCTAAACTGAAAATGGTCAACGTGTGTGTGTGTGTGTGTGTGTGTGTGTGTGTGTGTGTGTGTG